GGCCCGCGCGCTTAGCCTAATCCAGCCGCCCGACCACTCCCCTAGCCTTCAATGCGGTCTAGATCATGTTGCGGTGGAGCTTCAGCTGTGACTCATACCTGTATGCCTGCGCTGATTGGACAGACGGCTGCCCCTGAGACCCGCGGTGGATGCGGGCTAGTCTACTTTCGGGAAATGCGAGATGAAGCAAGGCAGCAGCCTCGGACTCCGGCGGAGTTGGGAGCAGGCTGTGAGGCTCGGGAGAGGCTGGATGATGCTCTGTATCAATCTTTGAGCAGTGCTCTGATCGTCTGATTATTTAGTCCTGGGGATATGTTATCAGAGACTTGCTCAGGTACAGGGACAAATGTCGCCCTTCTTATATTTCATAGCCACAGGATCCTGCGGCGTTTGGGGACATTTTTGTGGCTATTTTACATCATCTACCCTCATACTCCCCAACATGCCACTGGATGATAGTCACGGAAAACCCCAGTCTCGAGGGATGTGGTATAAGAGCAGATTCAATTGTAGCTACAAAGTATAGTTAACATGAGAACTGCACAGTACGATCCCATTGACTCCAAATCCCTATGCACAAGGCTCGGGGCTCCCCATCACCTGTCCCACGCAACGCCCCTCCGGCAAGAAGCCAAAGAAAAGGGGGAATAAAACAAACATGAAGCAGGTGGACTAGCAATATCACGGATTTGCCATAAAACGTGAAAAACTACCTGTGTTCGCCCTAAAGCAGCCCTGGCCATGGGGTCTTACCTAGAATTTCAGATAGCTGATTGGGGGATCGTCCATCTCCCGAGATGCCATATTGGCCCCTAAACCAAAGCGATACCAGTGCTCTAGGCTTATGGCAAGAGTACTCTGTACTTGGACGCATTCTCCAAAGAATTAGGACAACGCAGAAATGTAGTCGGCGTAATCCCTTGCGCCCTCCAAGCCGGCTTGGAAATGAGCCAGGGGGACGGCCAATGCAGCAATGGGGACGATATCCTCTGCTGTAACTATAAGGACTTACCAAGCAAAAAGGAAGTTAGCTTTTCAGGTCAGTTCTCAGCCCTACCGTTTTGGCGTTTGGGGAATGGATGAGATCCCCTGAAACATGCCAGACCGCCAGGAACAAACATTTCAATGATCGGTTCCTCGGCTGGGCCAATCGGCTTGAGCCAATCTAGTGCTCTTTCTAGTATTTGGGTGAAATGTTTTCATCCCAAGAGAGATTTGGCATGGCAACCTGCTTCTGGTATTGGAATCAATGGAATGCAGTGACCTCTGACTAGCGCCAAGGGGGAAGTTTTCTCGCCAGGTCGAAAATACTCTGGTGCTCCAAAACGCAACAAGCTGCATCCCGAGCCAACTAGAAAGGAGGTTTACCTGATCAAAGACTCCAGATAATATTAAAACTCACTCGCTTTCTCTAGCATATTCATTGTGGTATTCCCATCCAACGTTGTGTAAGCCCATGGTAAAAAGCAGCTGCGATATCGGCGCCCAAGGTTGGCGGTCCAGGTCCCCGAACCCAGAGCCCAGCAGCCAGGCCCCTTGCCGTCCCCACACCCGCAACTAAACCTATATTTTTCCGCTGGGAGTCACCGTAGCTCTATTTGTTGCGAGTACTGGGACGTGAAGGAAAATATCTGACTTGAGTCTTTCGCTCCTCTCGTTGCGCTGGGGAAAAGGGATTGGATCTTGCACGGGATTCAACAGCAAGGCCGCAGCATCAACACCCCGTCGGCCGCCATTTGAGACGACACCCGCCCCTTGGCCACCCCCGCACGCTCGAGATACGACCCTAGCTCGACGACCAAGTACCTCTCCGCCTTTCCCTATCACTTGTCGGCTGCGTGCCTCGCGTCATACCGTTGTTGAGCACATCGCAGCACATCCTGGTGACTTTGCAACCCCTCGTTTTGTGAGGCTCGGTCATCTGCCGTCCTGAGAGTTACATACATCCGTCGTCCTAGACGGCCCTTGTACTCCCACCTCTACAAAAACCCCAATTCCATCATATTCGAGGACTCTGCTGCTGTGCTTTTGGGACTACTATTGCCGTAGAGGCCTTGCAGATGGTAGCTGCTTGTGGGCAAGACCTTAGCGGGTAGACGACAACAAAATGTCCGCAACAATGAGGCCCATAAAGACCTTGCGCCCGTCTTACGCTGGTACCCGTGCGGGGTTCCAGAGGCGTCTGGTTCTGGCACTTTCAGGTACGATCACGACCCGGAGCATTCATTACTGATCGCAGCCCTGCTGTCAAGTATCTGTCAAGCTAACATTATACTTTGTTGCTGCAGCCATCCCATCGCGCTCGTTCTCCTGCACTGCGCAGCGACGAGACGACAAGCAAACTGCCACTCCTTCCAACCTCATTACATCCGTTCCCTACTCCGCACTCACAGTTGGTATCCCGCTCGAGACATATCTCAATGAGCGCCGTGTAGCTCTCACGCCTCAAAATGCTACACTTCTTCTGAAAAAGGGATTTAGTCGCGTGCTCGTAGAACGCGGCGCCGGCTCCGAGGCAAAATTCACTGACGAAGCATATCATGATGCTGGAGCCACCGTGGTTGAGCGTTCCCAGGTTTGGGCGGACAGTGACATCCTGCTTAAAGTTCGCAGCCCCAGAATCGAAGGGGATATCAATGAGGTGCAGCAGATGCGCGAGGGATCGACTCTGCTTTCGTTCTTGTATCCGACACAGAATCAGAATATCGTAGCGGCGCTAGCTAACCGGCATATCACTTCATTCGCGATGGACATGATTCCGCGTATTTCACGCGCACAGGTTTTTGATGTGTTGAGGTGTGTTGTGGAGCCTAGTAAATACCTGCGAGTACAGGTAAAAAACATAGAAGCTTATCATGATGGTTGTCGTATAGTTCCATGGCCAATATCGCGGGCTATAAAGCCATCCTAGAGGCATCGAATCACTTTGGCAGATTCTTGCCTGGCCAAGTGACTGCTGCTGGGTAAGTGCCACAAACCGTCGGTAATTCCTTTTCTAGAAGCTTAAGCTAACCAATTGCGCGTCTTACAGAAAGGTTCGGCATATTGCTTGAACGGTATATTGCATCTGCTAATGTGCTTCTAGATTCCGCCTGGAAAGGTCCTTGTAATTGGGGCTGGTGTTGCAGGTCTGAGTGCAATCTCTGCGGTAAGCCGATTCTCGCTGGGATAGGGTGGCTATCAATGCTGATTGCGTCTAGGCGCGCCGAATGGGTGCAATTGTACGCGGGTTCGATACTCGACCCGCTGTGCGAGAGCAAGTTCAGTCCCTCGGGGCAGAATTTATCGAAGTCGATATCGAAGAGGATGGTTCTGGAGCTGGTGGATATGCTAAGGAGATGTCCAAGGAATTCATCGAAGCTGAGATGAAACTGTTTCTGGAGCAGGCCCGTGAGGTTGATATCATCGTGACAACGGCTCTGATTCCCGGGAAGCCTGCTCCGAAACTCATCACTGACGAGGTATAACTGCTCGTTTGGAAATGTATCAATCAATCCATACTGACTCAGGCTTAGATGGTGGCTGCGATGAAACCCGGCTCCGTCATTGTTGATCTCGCAGCTGAAGCTGGGGGCAATTGCACATTGACCGTACCGGGACAGAAGGTAATCCGAAATGATGTTACAATCATCGGTGCGTGCGCAACCTATATTTTGATAGAAGCTTCGGTGATATTGACATCTAGCCAGGATACACGGACCTTCCTTCTCGACTCCCTACACAGTCCTCGTCCTTATACTCTAACAACATTACCAAGTTCTTGTTCTCCATGGCCCCCGAGGCTAAGCACTTTGGCATCGACCCAGCGGATGAAGTCGTTCGCGGCTCAATCGTCACCCACGGCGGTGAAATTCTCCCTCCAGCACCGCGTCCTGCGCCACCGCCAGCCCCACAGCCAAAAGCTGGGGCCACGGACGTTTCCAAGGAGCCCGCCGAGTTGGCCCTGACGCCATTCCAGAAAGTATCTCGTGAAGTTGCTACCGTGACTGCTGGGATGGGAACTGCTCTTGCACTCGGTAAATTCACCGGCCCTCTATTTATGGGGAACGTGTTTACCGCCGGTCTTGCTGGTCTCATTGGATACCGAGTTGTCTGGGGCGTGACTCCTGCTTTACATTCTCCCTTGATGAGTGTGACAAACGCAATTTCTGGTGAGAGACCGATCATTGATCAACTGCGTTGTCGTGATAACTAAGTTTTGTGCTAGGTATGGTGGGAGTGGGAGGTTTGTTCATCATGGGTGGTGGATATCTACCCGGTACCATTCCTCAAACTCTCGGCGCACTCTCCGTCCTCCTTGCTTTCGTCAATGTGTCTGGTGGTTTCGTGATTACCAAACGAATGCTTGATATGTTCAAACGTTGGTTGTATTTCCCCTTGACTCGGAGCTCGGAACTCTTATACCTTTATAGGTCCCACCGATCCACCGGAATACCCCTGGCTTTACGCTATCCCCGGCCTGCTTTTTGGTGGAGGATACATTGCTGCCGTTAGCACCGGAATGGCAGGCCTCGTACAGGCCGGCTATCTCGTCAGCAGCGTCTTGTGTATCAGCTCTCTGTCCGGGTTGGCTTCCCAAGCAACCGCAAGACAAGGAAATCTGCTTGGTATTCTCGGCGTTAGCTCCGGAATCCTTGCGTCGTTGGCCGCTGTTGGTTTCCCTGCTGAAGTTCTAGCCCAGTTTGCCGGTGTTGCGGGCCTTGGAAGTATCCTTGGTGAGTAGAAGCCAGTTGACCTTGAAAGTTCCCCGGTGGCTGATGTAGGCTTAGGTGCTATTATTGGTCGCCGCATTACTCCTACTGAGCTTCCCCAAATGGTGGCTGCTCTACACTCCGTTGTCGGTCTGGCTGCCGTCTTGACTAGCATCGGTAGTGTGCTTGCTGACGTTGGATCAATCTCTACATTGCACCTTGTGACTGCCTACCTGGGTGTCCTTATTGGTATGTTTCTAGATATATTTCGTGGATTGTGCGTGCACAGCTAATAGTGAATTTATTCTGTAGGTGGTGTCACCTTTACAGGATCAATCGTGGCATTCTTGAAACTTGCTGGAAAAATGGCTTCAAGGCCTTTGAATCTTCCTGGACGGCATTTGATCAACTCCTCGCTCCTTGGTGGCAATATGGCACTGATGGGTACATTCATCGCCATGGCCCCTGGCTCACCCGCTATTGCAGCTGCGTGTTTGGGCGCCAATACGATCTTGAGTTTCTTGAAGGGATATACCACCACCGCCGCCATTGGTGGCGCTGATATGCGTACGCGTGCCGTCTTGTGTTCATGTTGAGTATCTGTCACTAATATTGCTTCTAGCTGTCGTGATCACTGTGCTTAACGCTTACTCCGGGTTTGCACTTGTTGCGGAGGGTTTCATGTTGGATAATCCGTTGCTTACGACGGTCGGCTCCTTGATTGGAGTGAGCGGTTCTATTCTCTCATACATTATGGTAAGTCTCCCGCCCTATACCAGGAAATGGTATATTTCTGAATGCTAATGAATTTCGCAGTGTGTTGCTATGAATCGCTCATTGACCAATGTGCTATTCGGTGGCATTGCCTCCTCTCCAACGGCAGTTGAGCATCAAATCGAAGGCCAGATCACAAAGACTTCGGTTGACGACACCGCTGATGCGCTTTTGAATGCAGAGAGCGTTATTATTGTATGATTTCCGTTCCTTTTTTTTATATATATTCCTTTGTGCTAAGTGACATTTTTAGGTTGTCGGGTACGGTATGGCTGTGGCCAAGGCTCAATATGCGATCTCAGAGATTACTCGGATGCTTCGGGCTAAGGGCATCAAAGTGCGGTTTGCAATTCACCCTGTGGCAGGCAGGATGCCCGGGCAGTGCAATGTCCTTCTCGCAGAAGCAGCAGTCCCATATGACAGTACGCTTTTGAACACTCACCGCATCTTTTTTTCCATTCGATAGCTAACAGCTATTGTCTAGTCGTTTTGGAGATGGACGAGATTAATGATGACTTTGGCGAAACCGACGTCACGCTTGTCATTGGCGCCAATGATACTGTAAATCCCATTGCGCTTGAGCCTGGGTCCTCCATTGCCGGTATGCCCGTTCTTCACGTGTGGAAGAGCAAGGAGGTTATCGTTATGAAGCGTGGAATGTCGAGTGGTTACGGTATGTGGTGTCTCCTTCACAGTCGGAAAAATCGGATCTTGGAAGATATGGTCTCGCTAACGGATTTTCAATTCAGCCGATGTGCAAAACCCGATGTTTTACATGCCTGGAACGAAGATGTTGTTTGGTGATGCGAAGACCTCGTGTGATGGTAAGTTGGCCCTTTTCCATCTTCTTTCATTCAGTGGGAAGCGAGTTTGCTGACCAGCATATGACAAACAGCTATCCAGCATGCTCTTGAATCCCGCAAATAAACTGATTCCGAAGGAAATACCGCCGTATAATGGCCGTATGCTCTTATCTCATGCATTGTTCATTGGTCAAACTTGCAGTTTTCGTCGATTGCATAGAGCAAATAGCGCTCCGAAGACTAGAATTTGCTTGCATATACACGTTGCTTACCGTCGGCCGTTTTGCTTTGAACAGATCAGCCGTGTAGTTAAGTGTCTTCGGTCATGTCGCTTTCGTTATTCTCCTGCATGTTTTGTTGCCTTGCATTGATACCAACGCTGTTTGTTGTGTTTGTTCTGGTTGTTGACAAGTTGATCCAATGTTTATTTCGTTTGGTTCTTCGGATAATTAATCTTCCTATTCCAATATCGCATCAACTGTCGGGCCGGTTAGCGCGGATTTCGCTTATCTAGCCTGATGTAGACTGGTGGCGCTTGGCGAAACGCGAATCCCCGATAAGGCTAAGCGCGACCTTGGCGCCGTCTGTGACATCGTGAAAATTAATTGCTGCGACGCCCATCGACACCACGCACCCGCACGGCCTGTCTTTGCTCGCTTTCGTCCCTTGGAATTTAGAGTCGCTTTGGACGTCTTTACCCTCGTACTTTTCTCCGGTCTCTTTGACCATTCACTCATCACCGCTTGGAATAAACCCCTCCCTGGACGCCCCCGCGCTACCTACCCTCAATCCTCCCCAAGTTCCCCAACCCCATCCAGTAACCCGCGTCGTTTTGCGATCGCCGTGTAATATACCCCGTCCTCTTCTCCGCACCGCACCAACACTCCCCCCCGCCTTCCAACATGGTTTCGCGCAAGCGTGCCAGGGAGGAGACGGAGGAGCACGCTGGCTCCGTCGCGGATTCCGATACAACACAACATGGGGGCCTTCTTCAACAGCTCCGCAGCATGTGGGAGTTTGCGAATCTGGGCCAGTACATATTCACCTTTGGCAAGGCGATGAAAATCGACGAGGATTTTGATATTGAGGTGTGTGGATTCCTTTTTTTTTTTTTTTTATTGGCCTTTTTCATCGGGAAAAGCTGATTTTAAGCCTTGTCGCGGAGTAGGATTTGGAGACGGAGTGTCTAAAACCCGGGCACTCGGAGAAATTGCTGGAGATTGGCTTGTTGCTTCTCAAATTCGTCTCGTCACATCGTGGTTTGTCGTACGTTGCTCTCTCCCTTGATTCCGCTTCTCGGTTTTCGTCTAACCGCCGCGCTCGGGTTGCCTGTCTAGTCGAGAGAACTTTGAGGAATATACCCGTCGTCAATATAACGCGAAAGCACCCGGCCGGAACCCATTTGGGAATGAAGACCAACCAATGAAGTTCCATGATCTGGATTTGTTCACAAAAGTACGCGTCTTGCAGCAGCTAACTGCGTGGACGCTATGGAACCCAGACCGATTGCGCGAGAAGATGCCGGAACAAAAGGACACGGAGCAGACCGAATGGGTGAGACTTTCCAGTCATATTTAGTGAGTTGAAGTTACTGATTTCTGGTCATCCTGCAGCGCTGTGAGGAGCTAGGTTACGACCGAGATGAACGACTTTACTATATTTTGGACGATAATCGATTGTACCGTCGCACTAATCCTCCGATTCCCACCCCGAAACCTGCGAAACCCAAGGTAAATAGTAAAAGAGGTCGAGCAGCTGCGCGAGCTGCCAAACGTCGAAAGCAAGCCGAAAGTGATGTGAAAAGCGAAGATGAAGAACAGGTGAATGGCGATTTAGAATACAAATGGGAATGCATTGCCGTTACACTCGCCGATTACCAAGCGCTTATTGAAAAATTTCGAAAGACCAAGGACGCCGATGAGAAGATCCTACGTGACCGGCTCATTGAAGAAGTACTCCCAACCATCGAGAAGCTCGAGGAAGCTCAACAGAAGGAAATACAACGCAGAGAGAAGGAACTTTTGAACCTACAAAAAATGGCAACTGCAAAAAGATCAAGCAGACTTGCTGATAAACAGGAACGGGAGCGCCAGGAGCTTGCTGCCGCTGAGGAACTTAAAAAGCGTGAGGCCGAACGAATCGCTGCGAAGAAGGAACATCAACTGAAGGAGAAGATTGAGAAAGAACGGCTGTATCGATTGATGACTCGAGAGCAGCGTCTCAAAGACCGTGAAGAAAAACGAAGATTACAAGAACAGCATCTTGCTGAAATGGAAGCGCAAGCGAAGATGCTAGAAACAGGGGAAGCCAGGTTATCGGAAAGGCAGTTGAAAGCGATGATGGAGAAGGGCAAGCAGGATTTAGAAAACCTGCAGGCCGAAGAGCCATGGACTTTTGATTGCTCGGTTTGTGGGATTCATGGAGAGAATTTGGACGACGGCTCGCACAGTGTTGCTTGTGAAAATTGCAACGTATGGCAACATAGCCAATGCCTTGGAATACCGAAGGAGGAGGCCGAGAGAGACGATTTCCACTTTGTCTGTGCGGATTGTCAGCGACGGATTGAGGACGCCAAACGGCCAAAGATCCCGCCTTTGAAGTTTCGTATACCGACTTCAACTTCTCCTCCCTCTGCTCCAGCAGCCAAGTCAAATGGAGAAAAACAGAAGCAACATCTGGGCGAAGAGTCTCCTGTGAAGAAACCTAAAAAGCCCCATCCGATCCCCCCTGGACAAGCGGCTGGAATGAGCGTTCCTGGAGTACAAACGAGCTTCCATACTAATGCTCCGGCCTCGTATCCTCAGAGCACTTATCCGTCTGCAGCTCCAGTTGCTGCAAATATCCCTCCGGCAGCGCATATACAACGGCAGCCTATGAAGAATGGTACTTTTTATCCTCCTATTCAACCGCAACAACCACCTCCAGCTACTGCTCAGTTAAATCGTTCAATGCAGCCAGGCCAACATCCAGAACCGCAGCTTAAATTCATCCAACACTATCCCCCTCCAACAGTACCACATTCCACGTCTACATCGTTCAACTCCCAGCGCCCTTCATCCTCCTATTCGACGCAGAGTACATACCCTTCTCCCATTCAAAATCGACCATCAATGTCTCCAACACAAGGAAACCGTGATGTTGGACCATTGGCTGGTTTCCGTGCTTCCGCAACGCAGAACGGGCCAATGCCTAGCACTCCGTTTAGCCACAACGTTGCAAGTTCACCCTACCTGAACCAAACGCCATCTGCTTCCTTCTCTACTCCCCACGCTTCCTTTGTTCATACTCCTCCACCCAACTATTCTCAACCTATTTCCATGTCCGGTCTCAGCCCAACGAAGCAGTCACCTCCACGCGCACCCCCGACTTTTTCGCCTAACGTGGGCAATACAGCTGTTCTCCCTCCGGTACAGAAATTGCAACCCAGTCCTAAGCTGATGGGCCGATCATCTCCAGACGCTCCGGTCCCGACTCCGGTTAAGAGCATGACTCTCGAACAGGAGGATTGGCGACGGAGGGAGATGGAATATCCAACTCAGAATATGTCGCCACAGCTAGGACCAGTTAATTCCTCGACAACGCGGCCGCAGGCTCCGCATCCGACCCAGCTGATACCTCAGCCAACGAGCACTGCTGCTAATGGGCTATTCCACGGGGCAAAACCTCAATAATCGCCACTATTCTTTACTCGTGGTAGCTTGAGGAAGTTGCTTGTTGGTGGCAGCCCTAGGAAATGAACTTTGCATGCAAACTACGTTATCCTCGCCTTTTTCTTTCTTGAAATCTAGCACGGTATTCTGCAAAATGTTTGCTTTATACTGCATCCAGATTGCATTGTTATCAAAACACCATGTATATTTTACAAAATACCTTTGTGACGGTCCCCCGGTACGATTTGTGCTTTTCGCATTTTCTGAAGGCTCTGTCTGAGTTGGGTGCATCATATAGATGGGTAGACTTGTTTAGGTGCTCTTTTGCCTGTCACCATTGGCCCTGACTCTCTTTGCAAAAGGTCGTTTGAAGAGGAAAGTCTTTGGCTATATCCGGATTGTATATTGGTGGTGCAGCATGGTGGTTACCATGCTCAGGAGTATGGCGCGTTTGAGCCTGTTGATGTTGTATGATATTGGTGGCTATACATAGTTCTAATGATCGAAATTCTCTTGATAGCTTTGACAAGAGATTAGGCCCCGTCCCTAATCTATTATTTTCTTTATTTTAATATTTTTCCAAATCCAACACGTCCTCCCAGGGCCTGCCACAGACAACCAGACACATCCTCGAATACACACGCACAGGATCTCCTTTCCCGACAGTCTTTCAACCCTGCACTCTCCTATCAATCTCAACTCAGATATCTCATCCCACCCTGTACATCCATGCACGTCAAACCGTTCTCGACTCCTGCGCCAGCCGTCACAGCTGTGGGCACCCGGGCTGGTGCCTAAGAATTATATCTCGTATGACAAAACTGAAAATATTCCTTCCCAACGACGACAATGGTGATTACATTGCAAAAAAGCGCAAAAGATTTCACTGCCTCGGCCCATCCCCCGTCCCGTCTACCCCGTTTTCAACGTTTGAGAAAACAGAGAGTACAAACGATCTGACCGGGGGCTAGAAGGGTAGGACAGAAATCCCCAAGGGACTGGCTTCGGGGCTTTTTTTTACCTTTTTTTCTCTTTTTTTCCCCTCCTCTTTTTCCCTCCTCCCTACCGTTGGCGGAAACCGTCGGGATAGTAAGGATGTAACTAGATACGCCTGCTGGTAGCCGCGGGCTCAGCCTCCCCGCCTGCCCCCTGGGCTGGAGAATATTCGGCGTGTACAGCGTGCCCAGCGTGGCGTGGAGTATATGCTTCGTCCCGAAAGTCGCAGGACGGGGTCTGGAGGTATATTTGTTTGAAAACAGGTAGTAGGCGGCATTGGCCGTGGATCCGTAGGAGAATTGCAAAACATGCTAAAGGCGGGTTGTTTGACGCCCCCCTCGGGCTACCTAGTTGCTCCCAGATATACCCGGGCAAGGGTGGACAGAGAGCAAGTGACAGCTACACACATACACAGACACAGAGTATGCGAGGTACCCAACAGCTAAAGTGCATGCGCCTATTGGATGGGTTGCCCCTCGGCCCGTTGGTATGATAAGTTTCAAATATGAACGTTGCAGGTTATTGAAACCGTGATATCGAACGCCGTTGGTCGGGTTGCTCGGGGGGTTTGGAATCAGGGGCGGGAAGATATCCAGCGCCTTGGGTCGCTGAAGCCGGTTCTAGCTTGCTCTTCTCGAGGGGACTCGAAAGAGCATGGCGTTGGACAGCTGTGTATTTCTCTTCCTCCTTTAGAGCGCCCGGGAAACTTCCCTTGTGACATTCGGGTAGTTATTGCCTCCAGATTTTCGAAGGGGTGCCTATATCCCGCGAACGATGCCAACCATGCCGCTGGCTTCACAATGTTAGAGAGAAAAAAGGGCAAAAGCTCCAGTTGGCACAATTACCGGCTGTTTAGTCGCCATATACGGCCCTCCTGTCATACCCGAATTCGCGAATCGGTCGCGAATCGGTGTGAAATAGCTAGCACTCGTTTCAGGAGTTGAATGTGTGATTCTCCAAACTCCCACGCGAAAAGTTTGAGATGCGTGATAGTAATGTGCCTATGCACGACATAAAAGCCACTCCATACTTCACGGACACGTGTCGTGAACCGATCTCACGCACAAACCCCATGGCAATGCAATGGTGCGAGCCCCCAAGTAAACGTTGCAACACTTCGTCCTTGTAACTAAGCGCTGTGCATATCCGAGGCAAATGCCGACGACGCAGTATGGGGCATCTTGCGAGCAAAATCCCATGAGCGACTAGCGGTCGCACTCATCAACCAGCTCCAAAGGAGTGCAAGCAAAAACACACGGCCTGGATGCCAATTCCAGTTCAGTGTGCCGGGACTGGGAGGACGCACTCATCTCGCCCCACGGAGCTGCACTTGCTAAAGCTGGCCCTCTTCGAGCTCTGATTCTTCACAGGCGTACCCAAGTGAGCCTCCGTAGTGACACAAAAAGTTCCCAACACGAGAAACTCAACGCCATCCCGAAATAAAACCCCGGCGTACGGACACACAAGAGTTGTTATCATGCGTAACCCCGCATAACAAGTAGATTATTAGGGCGTCGAGGAGTGGAAGACCAGGAAAAACAAAAGGTGACAGGCAGGCCGTTGTTTTTTCCGCAGCACAGCCTGCCAGACCGTTTGTGGCCACAAGCTTTCGAAACTGTCTAGAGTCGCACATTGCACGACGTTGTTCACTGGTGACAGGTCATGGAAATAACAATGATATCACTTCTGAGGCGTGCGCGGGGCCCGAGACGGCGCTATTAGATCTATGACGCCCTTGGCCTGTTGCCTTCTACACCCGGAGGTGTAATTGTTTTCTATCATTCCATCACACTCTTGGGATAAGGAAAACGGGATGATCCGCCCCCTTTTCAGCGGGAATGGTACCCGGTCGGTTTCTGAGGCGGCGAAACTCGAATCAGTCGCGACTCGACAGGGCGGGAGCATACATGAAACTCGGCCCAATTGTTGGCTTCTGTAACTGGGGCGAAGTAGGAAGGCTGCCATCTCGGTATAGTATTTCCTCCTATGTAGACATTTCGAATTGGTGGTCCAAAATGCGGAAATCTTTCCGACCATATGACGAAAAGAATATATATTTGTCTATTAAAACTAGAATCTGTCACGAGAAACAGTTTTGCCCCGTTGGATGTAGCAGAGGGGCCAGAAGGGGATGAATTGCACACCGAGACTGGAGATTGCGATGTCCCCTTGTGGAGTCGTCGTGGATTTCAGAGTGATATCGTGCATAGGAAAAGGTGAGAGTCTGTTGCAAATCTTCTAGGTTTGCAAGCACTTCATCCACCACGGCCTTCCCAGTGATCCCGTACTGGTGTTTGTCAGGTCCAAGGGTATGCTGGCCAAATCATAGTACTCCAGCAAATCAAGGGTGCAGATATGAATTATACAACTCATTGGCCTCTTTCCAAAGGTTTATAGATATTGTAACCATTTAGTCAAGTCTGAGATGCCATGTCTAATTCGCCCACTTTCATGTCCTCTTCAGATAGCCCAAGTCTAGAATATACGATTCCATGCCCCGTGATTGGGATCTCACCGTGGTAAGGTAAATAGCCCAAGGTTAGGACACCTGTTAAACCATGATAACACAAAAGTTAAGCCCGCCAACTGGTCGCCACCATTACCTGCATTAATGGCGAAATTATCCTTCAAACTGGAGACCGTGTTGTTTTGGAACGTCAACTCAGAGCATATGTAAAATGGCATTCCTTGCCATAAGCAGTGAATACTATCTTCCGCTTTCGAATATTCGAGCTGGTTCTTACCCGGCAAAACCTTCCCTGGCGTTATTAGAATATCTTAGATCATCGCTGTAATGGGCGGGAGTACAGCGTTGGAACATCTGCTTTGCTCGATCAAAGAGAAAAATAACAACCCCAATGCCCTAAAACAATAGATCACCAACTGTTAAAGCACAAGCAAGAACTCCCGTGGCCCAGCCATCTGTCATGGTGAGTTACTAGAGCCTGTCCAAAAAAAAGCAGGATCAAACTGATTCCAAGCCATTGAACCACGCTCCCGTCAGAAGGAATTCAACCAAACCAATAGGATACGCAGCGCAAATCCTCAGGCAGTGAAAAACGGTCAAAGCTTTAGGGCATCCAAACAAAAAAGACTGAAAACAGTCGTTTGATTTCATGTGTACGCTGCCCACTGCCGATCTGGCGCGCCGCCAGCCAGAGCGAATGAATCATGATTGACACCGCATAAACCTAAATCTCGACCAACCCGGCCAAGGGAGAAATGTGATTTGACAATTAAGGGCAAAAAGACGGCAGAGAACAGAATGATGCGCACAGGGCTCTGGCTCCTGCCTGCTGAATACTGTAAGTCCACCGCATTTGACGAATGGTGGGTTGTGGTAAGTGGATAGTGAAATTGACAGCTCTTATTTATTGGATTTGTGAACATTGGGACAGATGCTGCTTGAGGGCTCGACGAGGGACCTGGTCCTTGGGAAGAATATGGTTTCAAGCGTGATGCGGAATTCGGGGTGGGTTGCTGCGAACAAGGGTTGGATATTGACCAGAGAGGAAAAACGCCAGTTAGTGACGGAGTACTCCGTAGTCAACCAAGCAAGTCATGATGGATGCCAACGTTGAATTAATTTGACACCCTGCAGCAGGAACCACCCGTCAGCGAAGCAGCCTAGGGATTTCAGGCCTCAAGTAAGCAAACAAAACTCTTAAAGCCAATAAGACTGATTTTAGCGGCCCCAATCGAAAGCAAATCGAAAACAAGCGTGGAACTAAAATGATCGACGCAGGGTCCAACGGGCTTGGCATCATCAGCTTTTAGCAAGGGCTTCATCTTCCAATTCAGGCGATAGAAGAAGGGAGGATCAAACAGACAGATTTTTGGATAAATCCGCGGAAGCTGCTGGTATGCGTCTATTCAGCAAATCATCACTCGAAAAAAGCAACGGGCGACCCAGAGGCCTGGGTGGAAGTCGCCACCAACATGCCCATCATGACAAGTCCAGTTTATGGACTGGGAAGACGCTCCGTAATTAGTATATGGAAGCAAAAGACGTAAAGAGGTTCCTGCACTCCATGGTTCCTAAGCCTGCAAGACGGCGGAAGGATCGTCATCAACAGAAAAGGTTGAGATGAACCATTTTCTAATTGGCTCGGTGTTTGTTTCCGACCTTTTAAGACATATTTCTTTTTTTGTCTAGAGCTCGGCTGGTTATACATTGCAAAATGAGAAGGCACAGCGCATTCGAAACTCTAGCATGGGAAGAGAGCACTCACGGACGTTTCAAAGTAGAACTGCAGCTTCTCAGGAACAGGGCGTTGGCGTGGCGCATTCCTTTCAATTGGGAAGCTTCCAGGGAAGCGGAAAGCGTTTGAAGCTTGGGGAAAGCCAAAATTGAGTTTGCGGGAAGATGAAGAGCAGTTGGCTGTAGGAAACGAAGTCCTAGCGACTCAACTCGTGCTTCGCTGTAGCATCCAAGGCCGAATAACGGGGGTATCATTCCACCCTCCACTGGCGGGATAGTTAGTATCCAACTTGAGTCAACGGTGCTTGAGGCGCCCTGGCAGGATGCTTCAGGTGTAGCGACCAGTCCCCAGGCTGAACAAAAACCTATCCTTCGAGCCCGGGACCTGGGGTATCCATCTCACCAGGGACAACTCGGGTTCCTTTGATGACGAGATCGACGTTGATATTATTCATCGATATCGAATCCACATGCAAGTGTGCCGATAGAGAGGAAGCTCGATTGAAACTGGTATGACAGCGTATGCAGGTTGTAGATCCGGGCGTAGTTCTTTCTTTACTTTTCTGGTTTTATCTCATTTATTTCCTTTTTCTTTCCCAAGACATGCATGTCTACACCCCGAAACTGTTTTCCTTGACATTCTGGACCCGATAGTCAGGTTATTCAGAGGGCGGCGCGACGGGATGCACGCAACTCTGCGCTGAAAAAGTGGGCTCATCGACGAGAACTGTCGGGAGCGTGCGGTTGCCTGCAAGCAAAATTAGAAGTTTCGGAAGTAGGTAGTCAACTAATCGAGTTATGCATCGATGTTTGCATTTATACATGGACGGATGTTTAGCCTTCATCGTGACCTGCCGACCGTTGGGCGAACCACCAATCTGGGCACGCAGAAGGCTCATGGAATGGATTTCGAATGAAATTTCGCCGATTGCCTTTTCTTGCTAGCACCGTTCCCGGGCGGGATTGGACAGAGTCTCAATTTTGAAAGTGATCTTCCCCTGATCTGCTCCTGATCTTCATATTTGTTGTAACACAGTGTGAATTTCCGAAAAGTTTTGATTCCAGAAGGCCATTTAGTTCCCTTTACAGTGTGTTTGATAGAAGGCGTATATTGAATTTCGGCGGTGGGATGCAAAGGGTAACAGACACCCGCATTTGTTGTGGCGATGCGCAAACGTATGCCCGGAACCATTGGACATCCATACTGCATGCCGATACAATAAAAATAGAGCAGGAGGGAAAAAGTGAAGTGGAGGCCCTGCATCGGCAGACATCAGCCGAAGCAGGGTTTCTGTTGGGAGGTGGTCGGAAAGCAAATTTCCCGTTCGCATAATCCGAGAGCGGGCATCACTGTGGCAATAAAACGGGAGATATGCGTTGATTGTTCCGGGAGAA